ATCTTGCTTTACAGTTTGGTTGTTTTAAGAAGTTAGTTACATGATGTCTTCCTTTTACTTAATAGGTGTGCCATAAACATTTTCAACCTGATGACCTCATCTGGGAAACATCAGCTTTCGATGAAAAAAATGGGAAAAATCATTAAAGCTTCACTGCAGAGACCAAAACTAAAAGAAGGCGCTTTTCCTAGCATATTTGATGGCTGTCCATCGTATTTATCTTCACAAGCTGGTAGTTCGAGAATGAGAAAAAGTCCGAATGAGAAAAAAAAAAAATGGAACGAGAAGCAAAACCTCATGATGAAAGCTATTGCTCATAGTAAATTATCAGCTGCTGAGTATTATAAATCGAGGACATTTTCAGACTTTAATGAACTTTTAACCTGTTGTATGCAATATAAATTTTCTACATTTTGGAACGTTGTGCACAAAGACAATATCTTGATGTTTTTGAATTTAAAATGCACTGATGGATGTGTAAAATTGCTTTATGCAGTCCACATTACTGCAGATCTTTTATTATCTGTATCGTTTCAAAATAAGTTATTGACTCATATCAGTAGTAAGTATAATGAGTTACCTATAAAAGTAAGTAATATTAATGAAATTCATGAAATACTTGATCATATTGAAATGTTAGAAACTAAAGACTTAATGAATTCGATTGAAATTATAATCAACCTGATGAAATCTTTAAGTTTCACAAATGAAGGTGATAAAATTTTATTTGAGTTCATGATTGAACAACTTTCTCTTGTAAAATGTAAGCCCCAAAATCGTCAATATTCATCCAATACCTTAATTTTAGCTTCTATGTTTTATTTGTTATCGCCCCAAGCATATAAATTTGTCCGACAATCTGGTAATTTAATTTTGCCCTCATCCAAGTACTATACATAAAATAAGTTCTAAATTAAATGTAAATCCCCAAAAGGAAACAGATGATATGTTGTTTTTGGCATATGCTAAGCAAAAAGCTTGCTATCTGAAAGAGCATGAATTATATGTTTCATTAATGATGGATGAAATTCACATCAGACCTTTTCTTGACTACAAAAGTGGAGATATTGTTGGAATTGGCCAGGAAGTTGATAACTTAGCTTCTAGTGCACATGTATTTATGATACAGAGTATTTTGTGCTGCTTTAAAGATGTTGTCCATATATTACCATCGAAGAAAATGACAGCTGAAGTTTTGTTCACTGTTTTGAAAAAAATAATTGTTGGTCTTGAAGCAATAGGTTTCAAAGTAATTGTTGTTGTTAGTGACAATAATTCCATTAATAGAAGATGTATATCTCTGTTTAATAATCCATTATCAAATTTTGTATTTCCTCATCCTGTTGATGCAACTCGTCCATTGTTTTATGCAGTTGATTCTGTTCATATTATTAAAAGTGTTCGTAACAACTGGTTAAACCAGAAAAAACCCTGAACAAGCTATGTATTTTCCAAATTTTGACTTGTCTTCAAATAATGTATGTACCTCTTCATTTCTTACTTTAAAAAATATGTATGAAGCTGAAAGTGGTAATTTGTTAAAATATGGATATACAATATCTCGTAAAGCTCTGTGGCCTACAAATTTAGAACGTCAAAGTGTGAAACTGGCTTTACAAATTTTCAACGATCAAACATCACAAGGCCTGAAAGAATTAGGAGTAAAGCATAATTTGTTAAATTTTCACTAAACATCTGCATATATTAAAATATTTTCTTCGTGGTTTTCAATAATGAATGTTAAAACACCAAACAAGGGGGTACACTCTTGTGATGACTTCTGTAAACCATTAGTATGGAATGAATCAGACAAGAAGTTTGTATTTTTAAATAATTTTCTTGATTGGTTGATGAAATGGAAAGAAATGAAGAGTGATACGGGTAGGTTGACAAAAGAGACACTTTCTGCTCTTATATTAACAACAACGTGTATGATAGAAATGTGTAGGTATTGTCTAGGTGAACTCAACATGTCGTATTTTTTGCCCGGTAAAATTCAGACAGATGAATTGGAACATCGTTTTAGTTTATATCGCAGGATGGCTGGAACAAATTATCATATATCACTTCGACAGGTTTTTGAAGTAGAAAACAAACTACGTGCATGTTCTGTATTAAATCTAACTATGATATCGAAAAGTAAAGGGACAATTGTTATCGATGATTTTTCTAACTCTTTTGATTTGATTAATGATAGTTCCCATGAATCTATTGTAAAATATTTTCATAATTTCAAGCATATTAATGTCACAGATAATGATCTTGAAACTATGGTTGATAAATTACCTTTAATTGCATACTTGGCTGGATATTGTTGCCACTCAGTTATGAATAGGCTAAAATGTGATGACTGTGGAGGTAATTTAGTTATTGAAAAACCACTAATAATTCCTCCCAATTTCAAACATATTCATAATTGTGATAGAGGTGGGTTAAAGTACCCATCTGCTGATGTCATTAATGTAATACTGCATAATTTTATTGTCATACAGAAGCTCATAAGCCCTGAATATGAAAATAGTTTCCTCCAAGTATGTAACCAACGTAATTTAATATCCACTATGACATTAGAAATTCTTATGTGTAAGGAAATTAAAATTATTTCCTGTAAAAACCATTTGTCACGTAAAATTATGCAACTGCTTATATACTCATGCACAAATACTCTTTTAAACAATTATTGTAAATTCAAAAATGATAGCTTTTCTAAATATTCAGATAAAAGAAAACTAAAAAACACTTGCTATGTAAGCATAACAAACAAAGAAATATATTAGAAATGTACCAATATAATTTTTTGGCCTGAAAATAATTTTAGTGCATTTCACTTTTTTAATTTTAATTGCTCTCTAAACATGCATTAGTAAATATATGTGTAATTTTATTATTTTTTGTAATTTAATTTCTTGTTTCTGTATTAAAATATTAAAAATTATGGAATTGTATTTAAATATGTTATATAAATAAATAATTTTAAAGACTTCATTTGTTTGTACTGTATTATTTTATATAGGTAACAGCAATAGTTGTCCATTACATACCAGCAATTAATTTAGATTTATGTTAATGTTTTTCACATCAAAATATTTTTTCATTTAAAATATAAACTGTATGCTTGGATGTTACTTTTAAGTAATCTTTGTATATTATATTATATACATATGTGATATATTAGAAGTTTGTACGATGAGAAAACTTAGTAGGTACTATGTGTTATATATTTACATGCATGATATTTTAATCGCAGGGTTAGAAATATGGATGCGTAAACCCAGAAATTCGGAAATATAATTGAATAATTTGGAAAGATCTTCAATTTGGGAGAACAGATGAACTTGGGGAGGGGGGAGAAAATAAAATTTAGGATAGTCAATTTTAAGGTCGCCAAATTATCTTAACATAGCCATCATATTTTATTATATCTTACATATGTAATTATGTGTTTGTAGATGCATCTGAAGAAGCTGTTGGAAGCACCAGGATGGGAACCTACATCCAAACTGTTGGTTTTCATTCTAGAAAATTAAGGTCTTAATGAGCAAAATTATGCAATTACTGAATTTAGAATGTTTAGCCATTATTGGATGATGCAGATAAATTTTATTAATACTTACTTCAGTAATTATTTTACTGTATACACTGATCACGCTGCTTTAGTTTGGCTTAAGAACATTAAAGATCCTTACAGGTAGGTTATTTAGATGGTTTTTAAAATTATCAATGCATGATTTTAATATAAAATATGAAAATAGTTCTACTAATATTGAAGCTGATATGTTAACTAGAAATCCTATTTGTCAAACATTTAAGTTTGGAAGTTAATTTATTCTCATTTAGAAGAAATTAAAGAGCATCAAAATTTAGATAATGTATATAATCCTAAGTATAAAGAAATTAATGATGTGTTAACTATTAAAAAGCAAGGATTATACAAAATCATAATAGCAATCTCTCTTTGTACTAAATTACTTTAAAAGGCTCATATTAATCTTGTCAATATTATTGGTCAGGAATTGTCTGTCCAAGATGCTAAAATTTTTTTGTAAACCATTGCGAAGTATGTCAGTTTTAATAAGAAAAGTAAACAAAAGAGATTTGGTTTAATGTGAACCTTTTGAATTATTATCTATTGATACTGTTGGTGGTTTTAAACTATTATAATTATATTAAAATGTATATTCACTTAATTATTGATCATGCTACTCATTAAATATGGATTTTTTGCTTCTAAAAGTGTAACTACAGATAGTTACATAAATAGTTTAAGACAAATTTTTCAAATTCAAGTACCAAAGAAAATTTTAAGTGATAGAAATGCTGCTTTCTTCCAAATTTTAAGCACTTTTTTAAGAAATCATAATGTAAAACAATTATTAACTACTAACGGGCCTCAAACTAATGGTAAAGTTGAACGAGTTACTCAAACAAATATAATTAAACTGTAAATTAAATTCTTATCAGGCTAATATTGCATGGACAAAATTGTTACCTCAAGTTACTGAATAATGTAAAATAATACACCTCATTGTGTTGCAAAATTCCCGCAATCTTATTTAATGTATGGAAAATTGCCTTATGATCCTCTACTTGAAAATCAAGAAGTCTGTCCACCAATCCTTTCTTAACATAGCCAGAGTATTTATTATATCATATATATTATATTATGTTATAATTTCCACACATTTGAGAGTATATTTAAGACTAATAAATGTAAATTTTCCTTGATGAAATTTTAAATTCTGATTTTCAAGGAATATGATTTTATGAAAACATGATATGTCTATAAATGAGATAAAAACAACATATCAGAAATTTTTAAGATATTGAGGAATTTTGGTTTTCAGAACTAATTTTTAATTGAATGATTTGAAAATTCAGCATCTACTAATCGTTTTATAAAGCCAAATTCGATATTCAAGATCAAGTTTTGCTGGACTAAGTATCAAATCTTATTACATTACATATGAAATTTTTTTAATGCATCTTTAATGAGTTTTTATTGCTCTTGCATTGTAATGTTCAAAGATATTCCGATAGTAAAATAAATTTTTTATTGCGGAAATATAGTTTCTGGATTATTCTAAGAGTTCATTATTTAACGCAAATTCATACTCGTATGCACGGAGAAATCGCTATCGGAAGTTCCGCCGTTTCATATTATACGGCCTAGTGCTCGTGACGTCACAGACCAGTCCGACGGCTTTATATCTAGGAGGCACTTTATTCTTTGGCCCAGGTGTCTCAAACACCGTACAATCAGAGAGGAAGAGACGTCTTTGTTAAGTTGTCCGGAAGTGAAAAGAGCGCACCTGCCTAGATTACAAACGGAAATTCTTCTGCCTCCCAGCTTATTGTTGCCTGATCTACTTACTGTTTGAGGGCTTGGAGTCTCGTTGCTGTGGATCTTTTGTTTACTTCTTTTAACCTTTCTTCCTGTGAAGCAAAGAATTTGTAGGGACAAGTGCCCTTGCAGTTTTATTTGTCCTTCAGTCGGACACATCTTGCTATTCCTCATCAACTATTCGATTCGATTCATGTGAAATTCGCAGTATACAGTTACAGTTAGAGATTCAAGTGTTTAAATCAGTTAGAAGATTATAATAAAAGGACGAATTTTAAATTGCATATTACTGTGTGACGCAAAAATGGAAATTTCAGACATGATATTCTGGTTAACTGAGGGTAGTGCGGTGGAATACTTGGATTTGTGCTGTCAGGAATTTCAAGAAAAACGAAATAGAACACTAATTTATGCACTGGATTTATGTGTAGCCCCTCGACGATATTCCTATTCGGATAAGAAGCGCAAGGAATTGGTTAGATATTGGAGAGAAAGCCATGGAAATGAATATTTTCCTTCGCTTAATTTGACTGATTATCAAAGTTTCCCTAATAGAAAACTGATTGAAATATTTAGAATAAGGAGGGAAGGAGTCCATTTAATAGATGCTGGAAAATACTCTTTTTTTCTCGATTTCAGTAAATCGATATTAGAAAGACTGGAAATGAAATGGGAACTAAAAACAGCTAAGCATTTTTTGAAACATCTCAAGGCATATAATGACTACACTCAAAAATCACTTTTTCCTATTTTGGACTCTTGGGATCCCGGGAACGTAACATTTGAGAAACCTCCTATAGTTTATCCTAGTACATTTATTCAAAACTACTTCATGAATTTAGTGAAGAAGGAAACAGGTCAGAAGTTGATGAAGCTTCTTTTCGAAAACCTTTGTGCAGATTCCAGCCTCGTTGTGGAACTTTTTCATACAATGTGCGTGCGTGGTTTTTATAAAATGCATCTTTTATTTAAAGCTGAAGTAATGGAATATATTTTCTATCACTGTAAGAAAGAAAAGTATCATATTACCCACTTTTTTCATGCCCTTCGGGAAGAGTCCCTATATAAAACACTAATTCGCTCTAGTCCAAAACATTTGCTTGTACTCCTCAAATACGGCTTCAAATTTATATTCAAGGGGGACTGGCAGTTTATGTATTTTCTTGAGCTTTATCCAACAATGAATGGGCGGTTTTACATGTAAGTCTTTTTTATTAATTTTCTTTTTTCATTTTGCTTATTTTTATTATAAACCTTTGTTTAGTTCACTGATGATGTTTGTCGCTCTACTTGGAAGTTTCTCATCGATTTTTAACCTGATAAGCTAGTGAGTTCATATTTTGTATAGACACTGTTTGTGGCTGACAATGCAATCGGTGACGAAACGATTTGTTTAAAAATTCGATTTAGAATTTTTGTTTTTAATATTAATGCTTAAACTTTTTTCCCACGTTTAACGAACTAAATAGAAAGGTCAGAAATTTGCAGTTTACAAAATCAGACTATTCATGAAAAATATTTTAAACGAAATTTGCATCACGTTTTTAATAATATTTCTGCATTTTCGGTGAATTTCGAAAAGCACTCGAATTTTTCGAACGTTTGGTTTTCAAATTTTTAAAAAAGTATTAATTGGTGATTTTCTACATCTCTGTTATTACACAATGACGAATCTTCCTGCAGGTATGTATATATGTTACTCGCACTGTGAAAAACGATGGTACCTAGAGCTATAAAATTTTGAATAACGTAATCCTCTACCCGAACATGTGCACCTGGAAGCCCGCATTTTGATTTTCGAATTTCTTTTATTATTAATACTTTGCAAAGACAATATGAAAGTTGGAAAATCGCAAATCCGTTTTCGCAAATCGTTATCGGGTGTTCATTTCAATTGAAAAAAAAAAAAAATAAAGCTCTATTCTATTTATTCTACGTTTCCTAGTCTATTTATTTCTACCTTTTGTAAAATAAGGTAGTTGCATGACCCCCCCCCCCCAAAAAAAAAAAAAAATCGCAAATCATAATTAGTTCATATTTTCGTAAATCGTTATCGGGAGTTAATTGCAATTGAAAAAATAAAGCTCTATTATATTTATTTCTACCTTTTGTAAAATAAAATAGCTACCTCAGATGCTAAATTTATGTAGGGAAGAAGGACCAGAAAGGTAAAATACAACTTTTATTTAAGCTCAATGCTCCTAAAATATATTAGAATATATACAGGTGACACTTGTATATTAAAGTGGCCACCATAACAAAATAAGCTGATTGAATTGCCAATTTTGTAACATGTAACTTTTAAATATTGCAAGGCTCTGTCTGCTTTAATAAGGCTGCTTATTTTATTTCACACATTTATACCTGTAGTTAATTTGTATTTGAAATTGTGAATAATTCATAAAATGCTGGTGAACAAAACCTGTGTCTATACATAAGAATTAGCTTTAATAAAATAAGTAGCATCAAAGTCTAATAATTTACGCTAATTGCTCTAAAAACCCCATACTTTTCTTCAAAACAGCACTTGAGTTATTAATTGTGTTAACAATGCAGTTGTTCTACATTTTTATGCACAGTGCTGTTACTTTCATTCTTTGGTTCAAAAAAAGTGAATGGAATTATACATTCTGAAAATTAGTTCACAGCAATAAATAATCTTTTACTCGTATACAATTAAATTTTCATAATTTAAATTTAAATTAGCTTTATGCGAATGAGAAAATTTGATAAATTCTTATGAAATGTATAATATTTTTAAACAAGTGCATTTTTAGCCACTGGTTCTTTTTAACTTAAATTCATATGCATTGTTTTTTAACTTAAATTCATATGCATTGTATGCAAGATAAATAGGTATTCTTCTGTTATCAGGACAAGATTCAGAATTATGTATATGTGCATGTATGGATGGATGGATGTGTGTGTAAGTGCATACATGCATATATATATATATATATACATACACACATGCATACATATCTACATTTCTGAAACTGATCCCAATAACAAAATAGTAATAATTAAATAACATCCTGACTACTGGGAATCTGAGGTCAGAACTTTCATTAGTTGCACCTATCACATAACTTCAGAGATATAACTGTATTGTATTTTAGTACTTAAATATTAGCTTGTTAAAGTTAAAAAGTAGCAAAGCTGAAGAATGCAAATGTGATATATTTCTTAACAATCATGTACAGTAATAGCTCTTTAATAATGGTTTTGATTATCTGCAGAATAAAGAAAAGAAAACTAAAAAAGGTTATGAAAATTAGTTTGTTGAATTGAGATTGGCCAAATGATAAAGATTTATTTGCTTATAAATTATTTCTACATATAACTGAAATTTTATGATATGTGCTTGCTGGCTTCAGTTGTAAATAGTACTGTTATTATGACAGTTTAACTCTGGATATTTGCACCATGTTACCTCAAATTGGAACTATAGGATAAAGCATAGTAAAAAAAATGTTGGGAGGTCATAAATAAAATAAACGCAGAAGCAGAAATTTACTCAAGCCATTATTATTGTGAATGAATAGAACAGCAGCTAGCAAATTTATTATAATTCACAATTAAATGTTCAAATTGTCATTATTGAGAATAATGTTCATTTTTGTCAAAGAGAAAGTGGACAGTGTTAAGCCGGACAGTTTTTACGATAGAAATATTAACTGAAATGCAAAAGAACAACAAAATTATAAATTTAACCTCATTAATATTTTTATTCATTTCAGTTTTATCATTAAACATGTTTATTGCTTCTGTATCATGCCAAATAGACTGGCTACATGGACGTTTTCATAATTTTCTCTATGTATGATATGAATTTATGCTTTCAAAAAGCTAACCTAGTATTATCAGTCACTTCCTAATTAAAATGCATTCAAAAAGCTAACCTAGCATTATAAGTCACTTTAAAGTCCCAGTACTCGGTTAATTTAGCATTTGTAGCATCAGTGTTTTTATACTATACTACAAGTGTTATTAATATTTTAATTTAGTGCTGCATTTTAATAACTTTAACATTTATTTTGTTCAATAAATAAATGAACTAAAAATATAAATTAATTTATTACAATTCTATTTTGTAATTATTATGCAAATTGTTTCATGTTTATAATTTTTAACGCTTCCAGCTGATTTAGTGAGCAGAAACAGCAGACTAGTATATATGGAGGAGCTGTCAGCTAAGTTATGCAACAAAATTATTCATCCTGCTGTCAGCATCATTCTAGTAGTGTCATTAAGCTGTAATCACCCAAGGTCAACAACTCCAGGGCAAATGGCTGAATCAAGCAAACCAAGCAACATTCTAAAAAGAAACATTAAACAAAATAAAAACTTAATACCTAAATCTTGATAAATCAGACAATTAAGCCATAAAACCTGCATACCAATTCTTCAGTTGCTAGATGGCAATACACTGACTTATAGTGTCCTTCAATGAAATCATTTTAAAGCAAGCTTATCAGATGATAAGCAAAAGTATGGTAATGATTGCATTGCTGGATAGCTCCTACAGTAAGCCAACTGTAATGTCTCACAGTGCTGTTACTATTAAAATTCTAGCTTATGTGTTATTACTTCATTTTCATATGGAAAGCCTTCATACGAAATTGATAGCATATAGTTCAATTTATATATGCTCTGTGAAAGTAATTGCCATTGAATCTAGAATTAATGCATCATGATTCATGATGAAATGTGATTTGAGACAAAATTTCTTAAATTAGAAAATACCAAAACAGATAAATAGGAAATGAAAGATGAAATTTATGTATTTTATACTGAAATGAAGATCTCGGTAAAGTGGCTGTATTCGAAGTTTAATGATAGATTTTTTTTTTTTTTTTTTTTTTGTGCTAAAATGATGTGCTGTGAAAATTTTATTTTTATTAATATTTATAATTTTTTTCCAAGGTGTCTATGTTTAAGCTATTTTAGATTTTTTTTCTCTTTTTATTATTAAAAAATGTCTTCTTTGTCATCATTACATTCAAATCCATCTCATAACCATTTTAAAATGAAGGAAATTTCTTTCTTTTTAATAGTTTAAGAATATTTTCACAAAATATAATTACAGAAGAAGTGAACTGATACATTTATAATTATATGTCTATATATAAAAAAGAATTTTTGAGAAAGATCCTTTATTTAATAGTAGAGACATTTAATATGAGCTATGTAATATTAGTTGAAATATTTGTCAAAGGAATATTTAATCAAACTATATTTATTATGTTTTAAGAAAAATCACTGTAATTTTAAAAGTTGTTGAATTTAAAAGGAAGGGGGGGAACTGCTGTTATTTCAAAACTCTAATAAAATAATTCTTTATTCCTGTCTGTGAGTGTATGAGAAAGAAATAATCATCTGTTTATTTTTTGTAATGGTAGGAAAATTATCTGTGTATTTAATATAAAATTGTATGCATGTAAATAAATTTTTTAATTTATTATTTTAATTGTGTTAGCTTCAATTTTTATTCATTAAATTATATATATATATTTAAAATTCAGCTAAATATTATTAACAAGGACTTTAATTGTTGATAAGTATTTTATATTTCATCCTGTCAAAAAATTTAATTTTCCTTTTGTGGTAGTTTTTCATACAGCTCTCATTTCCTGTTCAATAGTAAATATTGCATACTTATAATTTTATAAAAGATGCTTCCCTGCCCTGGAAAAAAAAAAAGGGACACAGATACACTCTTAATTTAAAATTCATATATAAGAACAACATGAAAATTAAGATTAGTCAATGGAACGAAATAACACATATGTCTTCAATAGAGGACAACATATATATAATTCTGTTAGCTTCATTTATCCCATTAGCTTTTTTACCCGATAATAAAATTCTAATTTTTTTTTAATGAGTGAAAAGTCATAAATAAAGCTAATGGTGCCTTTTAATGTAGTATAAGTAATCTTACTCTTCAGAGATAATACATTTTTTTAACTCTATCATTCGATTTTAAAATAAGCATAAATTTGAGTTTACTGTTGTTTTGTTTATCGATATTTATTTCAACATTCACATATCTGCAATTTCCTTCTCAATTTTTTAGAATATATTACGCATTTTTCTTTATGTACATTATTTATAACACTCCTATTGTCTTTTGTGGATTCTAAACTGACTATGAATGAGGGAAATTTCCATTATTAAATATTTCCTATTAGCTTACATAACATATAAAAATACACATGCACAGAATGTTTGAGATAGGTTTTTATGCTTAGTAAATTGACCGTTCTAAGGATGGAAGAGCTGTACAAACATAAAATGTAATTTTCTAAAATCATTAGGTTTGTCAAAGCAAGAAATATGCCAAACATGCAAAATCCTATCTGCAGTAGCAGACCTAGTTATTGAGGCTCAGGATGGAAATCTCACTAGCCCCTCCACCCCTTATTATAATAAAATCCCCATATAAAATGTCAACACAAATATATAAATAACATTTATTTAAATAAAATTAAATATTTGAATTGATTTGGAAAACAAAAGTCTTAAGATTAAGGAAAAATAATTTACATTAAGCAGATAAATTTATATTAAAAAAAGTCTTATTAATCAGCCATTTTTATGATTTAAAAAATGTTAAATTTTCTGTGAATAAAAAAAAAAAAAAAAAAAAAAAAAAAAAAAACTATAACTGTTTTTAGTGAGTTTTGACTTCTGAAAATTTGTTTATAGCTTCGTCAAAAATTCATTAATGCTTTTTTGCTACTGTATTTATTTTCAATGCAAAAGACTGCCAAGCCATTAAATCTTAGCACATAGTTGATGGAAGATAGCTTTTAATCAACTTCAACTTCGTTAAACTTTTCTAGCAAGGAGCAACTGAAACATACACTGTAAAAAAATCTTAAGCGGCACATGTAAGTTAGGAACTGATTCTCGCAATACAGACAACTTTTTAGCTTCGTCCTTTTCAACATATGCTTAAAAAATCAAGGTTCTTCGGAGGCAACCCCTTAATCAGTGGCCTGTATGTTCTGCCCCTCCTCTACACCTTTGCCTAGGCAGGATATGAAAAAGATGCAACACACTAGCCTAATTTCCAATTGCTAGCAGGATTTATTTCCAATTACACCACGAAGGCGCTCGGCAATAAAGGAAAAAATTCCTTACATTCTCTCCCACTTCAAGGGCGACTAGGAAGGTGGAGACACATTTGCTAAATCCTGATATTGACAAATTACAGTCTACCACATTTTAGTTCGGGAGCCAACAGGCAGGAAAAATATGTGTTTGTCCTCGCCGAGTTTCGAACTCCGGCCCTCTGATTGCTAGTGGGGTGTGCTTCCGATTATACCACTAAGGACCGCCTTAAAGAGAAAGAAATACCTTACAACTCTTCCTATTAATAATGATTAATTTTTTCTAGACTTGTTTTTCAGTAAATTAAATTAATATGGAGTCATGTTCCATAGTTTTATGATACAGTCAAAAGACTTTAATCCGGACGTCCATAATCCGGAATGATCTATAATCCGGACCTCAAAGCTACAAACTTTCGGCGCATGCGTAAACGCAATTGCGCAAAGCTATTATGCGCATATACGTTTACGCATGCGCGTTTAATGTATAACGGACGGTATAAGCTAAGCTCTTTCAGTTAATGTTGCAGATTGCGTTGTTCCTTAATCTTCTAATTGGATCCGGCTTATTATTTTTTGCAGACTGTTAAAGCAATTTTATAAAACTAAGCTTGAACTTTCGATTATGTCAAAAAGAATTTCCGATTCTGGAGCTGCCAAAGGATCTACAAAGCGAAAGCATGTTTCGATGTCCATCAAACAAAAAGTGGAATTGCTGCAAAAAATGGATAAAGGCATATCCTTTGTTTCTCTAACCATTCCGAATCTGTTTATCAATTTCACGCTGCTCTGTGGGGGGGGGAACGTCGCGGCGGCGCAATGAACTGGAAGTTGATCTGTCAGCACTATCCTTATCTTCAAGGCAGATGTTTTTATTTTATTCGGCTTATAATTCCTTACTAAATGCAGTAGTATTTCACCTCGATGTACTCCGTCTTTGATATGATTTAAATCAAATTCCTCGTCATTATAAATATCACGAATACACATCAAATAGTTTTCTGGTTGCAATTTTCTAATTTCGACTATGCGTAATGTATGCTTTAGGCATGTGCGCGTTGAAAGAAATGTTTAATAAAGTAAACAAATAAAAATTAAACTTTTTTTTTGTAAATTTTGATACCCTTTAGATCATAATTGCTCTTTATTTCATAAATTACGGTTTCATATTTTTAATTTTATAATTTCTGCATGCCATCTTACCAGATTTAAACTGATGATCTATAATCCGGAAAAACCGATAATCCGGAATCGCCGAAGTCCCGACGAGTC